CATTTATGGTTTGATTTTTTTGTAAGTATGGATCACTTGGGTTGTTACCGACATCTGGTGAAAATTTAATGCCATTAGCACCTCTAGTAATATATTTACTGAAAAAATGGTGACGTGTTCAATACTTATTTTACCCGCTTGGCTCGATTATTGCAAGGCCTTATATGTCAGAATTAATATGTCTTCCATCTCTCACTTACAGCTTGTAGAAAACTCTGCCGCTCACTCCTTAACTAATACACGTGAATATGAACACATCACTCCTGTTCTTTCTTCTTCGCACTGGCTCCCGGTTCAGTTTAGAATACAATTCAAGCTGTTATTTGTTTTTAAAGCCTTAAATGGCCTTGCACCACCTTACATCTCTGATCTCTTGAAAATCCATCAACCAAGCAGAGCTTTGCGGTCCGCCAGTCAACATCTGCTCGAGGTGCCTCGCTCTAGGAGCAAGAAATGGGGGGACCGGTTCTTCTCTGTTGCTGGCCCAATAGCGTGGAATAGTCTTCCCTATGAGTTGCGTGCCATCTCTGACCTGGTCCTGTTCAAAGCCCAACTTAAAACCTTCTTTTTCAAAAGGGCGTTTGGTGTTTTATTTTTAGCATTTTGCATATCTTTTTTACTTTCTTTTATTGTAATTTGTGTTTTTAACTTGTACTGATTTTTATGGCTTGATTGTATTTGTTTTACCTTGTGAAAAGAAGGATTTTACATAAAATCAAGAATATTGTGGACAACCCTGACCATCCTCTTCATCAGACTGTCATAGAAAGACAAAGTGTCTTCAGTCGGAGGCTTCTTCAACTTCGCTGTAATACAGACTGCTACAGAAGATCTTTCCTGCCTTCTCTTACTTATTACTGATTAAAACTTATTAAAACAAGGATATAACAACACAAAAACTCTTAGCGTTGATGTTGACATGTTGATTTTTTAGTCAGCATGCTTTTGTTGAAAGAGTGGACCCTAGGGTACATGACAACACCTGAAAGGTTCAGTAGTGGGGTGTGCATGGTGAGCCACCCTAACCCACAGACTAAAACGATGAACATTTTCATCTTCTGTTGGGGTTGTGACCTTTTGACCCCCCTGATGACATCATCAAGCGCATGTTTGTTTAATGAAATGGTGGTGAGCCATGGACTAACCCAACCTGTGTGAAACTTACCTGAGAACGCACTCTCTGTCCATACCACTCTACCATTCTCTTCTCTGGAACACAACTCTCTGCTGTGACGGGTATAATGATGCCCGGCCAGGGAGAGAAACCCTCAATCTGCCCCCAGACCAACTCCCCCTTTGGATGGATACATGACAACATACAGATACAAAATTACCTTAAATTATCAAGACACTGTCTCAGCCTATTAAATGACCAGTACTGACTAAAACCAGCTTCTAAATCATAAAACTATGAACACTAATTTCCCTCTGGGATTAATAATGTTTGAATTGAACTGAACAGTAAAATATACTTACAATAGATTTTTCTGATAGTTGTGCAGAGCAYGATTTTGTGACCGGAGAATCCAAGCTGGGATCTTCATCACTTGTCTCGATGAAGATATACTCTCCCTGTTGAATCCCTTTACCTGCAGGGCAGCAATACATGAGCAACTTCAATGTTTAGTTTTTGGTGCACAGCTTCACAAGCTGCTGACTGGCAGGTGATTGACAGATAAAGGTTGGGACAGTCTGGTGTGGAGAAGATCTTGAATGTCTGTTCAGAGATGTGGCTTTCTGTCAAATTTATGTCACAAGGTCTCATGGAGATWTGTGGAAAACATTTTGGTTTAATCTAAAGTGGAATGATTTGTATCTTTCAAACACTTTAATAGTGATTCACAGTTCTTTTTATGATTTGATTTTCCATTGATGTCCCACAAACAGGCAGAGTGTTGGTAGAGTCTGTGTAAATTTGTGACTTTTAGGAATGTAATAAATTCTCTGCATCATTATTCAGGCATTTCAATAATAAAAACATAATTTGAGAATCCAAGCTGGCCTAAAATAGGAAAGGTTTAGTCTGATTTAAAGTGTATCTTACCCCTCTGTGAAAAGATAACTCTGCCCCAAGGCGAAATTTGAAAAATGCATCAAAGTGGGTGGGTAGGGG